GGGGGGAGTCATGTAGCAAATCCACAAATTTCCATGGAAGTGATTCGAGTGAGCACTGATTTTGTTCAGCATTACAAAATTTCCCTAATTCAGCAAAGGCCACTCCAATTCGTGCTCACCTACACAGAATTAATTATCCAACAGACTAAGGATGTTTATCTGCACTCTTGATGTCCAGCTTCCCTGTCTCACCATCTTGGACTCCTTTTTTTCGTCCAAAGATGAACTCTTTCACTGAAAGTTCTGCTGATTGTATTGCATTTTTAATCTGTCATTGCAAAAGCAAAAAAAAAGGTACTAAAATGGTCTTACAATGCAAGCATGCTATAACCAAGTCATATGAGAAAAAAGTTCACTTACCAATTGGAAAATATAATCCAAGCAAAGATAAATATCAATGCACATTAAAATCAAAAATCTATATAGTTTGTCAGAAAAGCTCCACAAATTGTTATAAGCTAGTCTATTATTGTTCATGAGTGATTTGCAAACTTCAATCCCAGAGCAAAGCCCTTTTTGGAAACCTGCAGGACATGGCTTCTAAGGACATCATTGATACCGTGCAGCCAAATACCAAAGTTCAATATGAGGGGCTTCCAAACTGAAATGCATTACAGTTCTATTATAGTACTCAAGTGCCTATGAGAAAATAAAAACTGTTTTGCTTCACTTGGTTAGCATCAAAACACTGAAAATTGCATGAAAATGAAAAAAAATCAATGTTTTTTTGTTTGATTAGCTAGAATGTACAATTTCTAGAGAAATTTTTTTTTCCCTCCTCACGTTTCAAATTTTTCCGTTAACATCTACTTTAGTTTCCCACAAATTATGCGAGGAAAATTTTTGTTTCTTGTGAAAGTTGCCTTATTTTCCCTATTTTGCCCACTTACCCTTTTCCCCATTAGATTCATATGATAATAATAATTTAGTCCTTGCACCAATTTTTCTAGCAAACTTTTCATTCTAATCAAACACATACAAGAAAATAAAATTTTCTTTCTATTTCCTTCCTTTGTTTCACTTCACTTTCTACCATTTTCATTTTCCATCATCAATTTCTTTCTAACCAATCTGTGGGAAAAATGTTAACAGGGTTATGTCAAAGTTAAGATAAAATCCTTCTCCGATTACATTTCTTCAGTCATATCGTACAAGAAAACAAATAAAATGGGCAGATAGAAACTACTATCCACCAGCCATTAGAAGTCATTCTACTTATCTAATCTCTTCCAAGCCTCCCAAATATAACACGCTCTCTCTCTCTTGATTTTTTTTCTCATCTCTACTGCTGAAGTAACAACTATTTCTCTTTCTTCTGTTATATGTCTTTGATGCTGTACTTTCCAAAAATAGTATGATTTTAATGTTTGAAAGTGCTCACGAGGTTGAGGTTCTTGCCTTTTGAAGCTTCTTTTCTTTCTTTTATCCTTCTTCTATACTCTTTTGTCCTTCCACTTTCCATCATCTCCCAACTGAAATAAAGATCTAATCCCTTTTTCTTCCCAATTACTGTCCTACATCAACATGGATAACATTCTAATTTTCGTCCAAATAAAATTCGAATTTTTAGTGATTGAGGAGACCAACAATTCAAAATTCATATTCAGATAACGCTATAATGGGGTAAAAGCACGCTGCTAAACAGTTTAGAATTCCTAAATAACCAAATAAATCTTTATGACTGGAAGAGCCACCTAGAAGTCATTCTTCCTTAAAACCAGATAGTTCCACCATTAATTTTCCATCATAAAATCAAGCAAAGTAGAGGGGGCCTTTAAAATTCATTTAAAAAGACCACTTCTAGAGATATTCATACGTCCAATGCAAAACTTGAGAACACCAATGAACCCATGGGCTGCCGATTCCCAAATCAGGTATCTGTCATTCTCATTTGCTCAGTAAACCCCAATACTACATCGCTTTGAGTATCCCACTCAGCCAACAGTTTTGTGAAGGCTATAACAACTTATGCCTAGACAAGGTTACCAACATAAATGTGAACATATATAAGCGCATATGTGTGTATGTGTGCGGGAATGCACGCATGTTTTGGGGAGGGGAATAAAGGAATCATATAAAATCAGGAAAGAGTGATACCAATATCCACACACACAAAACCCATAAGCCACAAACCCCAACAGTGATTGAGATGGAGACAAAACAAAGTCAACAACTGAGTAAACCAAACAAAACCCAATTCTTAGCTACACAAGCTCATCGCTAGCATAGCAATAACCCCCTCAATCCCAACATCAAAAACCTCAAATAATGAAAAACATACCAAGAGACTTGTCGAGCTTGTGCATATATACACTCACTTCAACATTAAAGGAAAATTCAAGTACATGAGAATAATCCCAAACAAGTTAGCAATTAAAAGATACAACCCACATGATATATACAGATAATAACAGTTGAAATCATTATAAATCCAGCAACTTTAAAGAAAACCCATATCAAATTTCACTATAAGATCACTATCTTTACCTACCCATATACACAAACATATCTACATACACCTGAAGGCGAACTTACAGGGTCGAGAGCATTGGGCTCAGAGCCATAGTCAGCGGTGAGAAGGAAATAAGATGCAGTAACAGTGGCCACCATAGTCGTCCTTCTCACGAGCTTGTCAGTTTTTGGGTTCATCATCTCTCTGTCTCTCTCTCCTCCTTGTAGCTTTTGGTCACAGGTCACTAAACGGGAAGGTTTTACCTGAAATTATGGTGAGGACATGGTGGGAGATTTTGTACAGACTTGCCGACTTAAGAACTTTTTGGAAATAACACTTGTTCCCCCTTTAGCATTCTAAAATATCACTGACCCCCTACTCAGTTAAACAACTTTATTTATTTCTTTTATTTTTTTGGGAGTAAATGTTCATTAATTATTAATATCACGATCTACTAACCAGCATAGCTCTGAATATTACAGAACACGCTCTCTAAAACAGTGTAAGCAAACTTGCCCCTGGATAATAGGAAGACTAGCCAGCTGCAGAGGGACCATATAGCATTTGAGCCATCTTTCCCAAATGATTTCAGAACAGTCTATCACCAATGCAAAACAGCCAAAAATCGCAGTTGGGCAATAAAAGCCAGAATATGTCAAGAACTTATATTCATGGATGTTCTACACACTCTACCTTTTGCCGCCTCAGTCTTCTGAGCACCTAATATCACGTCCTGCATAATGCCAACTAATAGCCATATCAATAACAAACCAAATCAAAGTTAATGTCCTGGTGTTACAGAAGAAGTAGTTTGATACTCTGTTCATGTTAATCAGTAGGTACACAAAAATTGCACTACCTCTATGTGCTATATTTAGCAAATAATTTCCTTTTAGGCTTCTACCATCAGAGAAAATCCACTACAGATAGAGTAATGAGTTAAATTTAGTAAAATTTAACTTAAATGCCTTGGAAATTTTATTAGCCATATGAAATATTGCCAACAAAACTGCTGCACAAAGTTAGACATGGAAAGATATGATAATGGCATCATGCTCAATTTTATTATTTCAATCAAGATATTGCTAGGGAGATCTGCCTTCTAACCAACCAAATATCTTCTGCAAAGTAGAAATGCCGAAAAGGGTCAGAATTTTATGAATCCTACATGGTTAATCAAACATGTTGATATTAGAATAGGCGTAGGGAATCCATTAATTGCAGGTTGAGTATGAGAGTTTTCAACCAATGTATCCTGTTCATGGAGATTTTTAGTTTTTGGTTGTTTTACAGGACATGCCTGTTCACGGATAAGAAAATATCCTTGCAAGTCCTCAAAATGATTAGTCTACAAAGTACCACCAAGTTTAGTCGGTGGAAACTCAACAACACACCTGTTATCACATGGGTTAAGGAAGCAGAGTACAGAAGTAGAAAGCACATCCCAGAAAAAATACACAGGAATATGACAAGGGCAAACTGTAAACAACTCATATAAGAACCATATCAAATGCAAACAATAACACAGCAAGATCATTTTTAAATGCACAATGCTAATGAGAGGACATAGTACAGAAGTTTCATTACTGCATCTTCTAAGCAATCTTGCTCCGAATTTCACCATAATTTTGGCAAATGGCTGCAATTGCAGAATTTTCATCAATAAAAAAATTCCAAACATTTAGCATTCAAAATCTCAATCACAATACAAACATGATTTTTCAAGCCCTGATCAATTAAATAAATAAGGGCAGGAACCCAGTTGGCAGCAAGTACAATGCTGACCATCCACCAAAAACAGAGAAGACAGGAATCAACACATCCTTGTTCTTTCCCAGCACCTTCCATGGTTCACCAAACTAACTGTTGATTGACTTTGAAGTGTAGGCAATATCATATTTCCCTTCTCGAAATTCCCTTTGGGAAATGTAAGAAAGCTCTCGCATGGCATATTATCTCCTATACAAGTACTTTGACAAAGGAAACTTCAGGCTCCTTGCTACCTATTGGACATTTCAAAACGGCCAGTGACCATCAGTTTATAAACAAGAAATCAAGAAAATAGATGAAAATTGATTTTATCACCACTGCAACAAATATTGTAGAAGTTCAAATTGGAGATTTAGAATGTTACCTTCAAAGCCATATCTTCACTCACTGTGCATCGGTACCGAGTTGAGCCCTCCAATGGACAACTTCCTCCTTTGCTCATAAAATTAGCGCTGCAGAGACTGGATAGTTGCAAAAGAATGTCGGACATCAATCCACTATCTCCATTTTCACATCCTAAGCCATCAGTTCCCTGTTCTTCATCAAACGAACACTCTTCAACAGATGTGAGACACTGATATATGGCTAATAACCTTTCCAATGGGAAAGTTCCAGGTCCCTTCATTAGTAACTCTTGTTCTGCAGTTTCCTTCTGCTCCACCGATTTTACAGAGCTCCTGAGCAGGAAGCCATCAATAGTGAAATAAAATTATGTCGCAGTGGGGTATGAAATTCCATGTAGATGATACATTAATAATGCTGAAAGCAATATTAGAAACATGAAACAATATTTAACAAGTATCCTGGAAAATGCCTACAACGGTTTTAAGGGTAAAAGTAATCATCAAACAGAGCATTACATATAGTTGCATGCCCATATGTACAAAAAAGCAACTAAAGACAGTTGTAGCAAATATCATAAGCTCTTTAATGGCATTGTTAGGACTCATTTGGGGGATACTATTTCAGCCATAAAAAGAACATAAATCTTATACTGCATTCCTCGTTCAGCAATATGACATGAGTAGTAGCTTTATTAATTGGTTGAGGTAACACAAAAACAAAACCTGTTGCAGAGCATATGTTTATCTCAATTCCAAAATAAGAATACTGAAATAATCTCCAACCAGATTTCCTGGAGAAACTTTTCCCATAATTGTTGAAAATTTTGCATTCAATAAGAACAAGCACAAAAGGAGACTAGGGAGTAGATGCTGTTTTCTTGCAAATTAAACCTTCTTATAGCAAATTTTTCTGAAAAGCAATTCAAGCTAAAACAACTAGCACATTACTTATTCTTCCTTCAAAACAACAATAGCATTATACATGTTTGACATCAATTTGATAAAGCACTTACTTCCTCTTTCTTTTTCGATTATCAGAACCCCCAGTAGAATCAAACAGAGAGGCATCAAGAGTAGCAGGGTTTCTCGAAGCAAGGAATGCAGATATAAGAAGATACTTTGCAGAAGTGGACATATGAAACTCTACCTCATCAGAGGCTTCAGAAACTCCCGCTTTCCTTGCATTGCCCTTTCCCTTGGCTTTGTCCTTGTTATGTCCAGCTTCAACCCTAAAAATCTCATTCAGGGAAGGCGCAATATGTGGCTGAAGATGACTAAACAACATTCTTTTCATTTTTTCATTAGGAAAAATGCCCAAGTCACTCAATGGTTCACAATATTTTTTATATAATGCTGGAAAGGCAGTAGATAATTCATCAACACGTCTTGTAATTCGAGAGAAAGGCCTCAGTAGCACACTGTTTCAACAAGAAACCCAAATTAATATATTCATCAATTGAACCTTATGAAAAAAGAATTTGATGGCAACAGCGATAGTAGTAAGTCGTTATCCATACTCGAGAAATGAGGAATAAAGTTTTGGGTTGCATTGATTTCTCATCAAGATTTGGCGAAGATCATCTTCTGTGTATTCAGGAAAATAAAGAGGGACAGGCTCTGTATACCCTGTGTTGAAGTAATATGTGTCCGGCGAGGTGTTACTTATAAAAATGAGACCCACCTCAGGCATCTTCATAATATCATAGAGCATAAACAGAAAAGGCAATATATTAGAACTCTTTTCCCAGTCCCGAACAAGCTCCAAATTATCGAATATCAAATAGATAATCTGCCCTTTCGCTTGTCCCACTAGCTTCTTTGAGTTAGATTTTCCCATATTCCCCTTCAGACTATTAATTATATTTCCCAATGCTTCCCTTAATAAATTAACAAATTCAGAAGGCCTTTCACAGCGCTTTGCACTTGAATAACCATTGCCTTCATGTTTCCTATGAAGCAAGAGTTGGTTCAAGATAGACTCGAATAATATTCGAGGACTGTAACAGGTAAGACAACTCGAATACACAAATGGTCGATTCAGGTGTCTGAAAATCTGAAGAACTGTGCTTGTTTTCCCTCTGCATGCCCCTCCATAAATAAATAAAGGAATCACTGGAGAATTCAAGGGACCCAAGAGCTGCAGTAATTCAAGGATTTGAATTCGCCTACCAGGAAAACTACAAATCAAATCATCAAAGCTTATGGGTTCATCTCCATATACGAGGTCATTGTGTGTTAGAGGTTGGGAATTGCAATTATGAAGTACTGTTTCAGCTGCACTGTTCAAATTGGGGTTGGAAGAGGATGCTCTTGTGGTTCTTCTGGTAATTTGTGGACTTTCTTCTTCACCCATTTCTTTCAAGGTACACAAATTGCAAAATGCCTGGTCAATTAAGAGAAAAACAATTAAGAGAAAAACAACTTAGAAACAAAGCTTGAAACATGCCAGATTAAGCAAATTTGCACTATTATGATAAAATGTACCATAGTCAAAAGAACAAAAATTTAAAAGACCAGTTTAAATATCTATATACTAGTAATTGCCCGTGACTGAAGGCATGAAGTAACAAAGAATTATTGTTGTCAATTTAAGACATACCAAATAAAAGATAACTATAGACATTGAGAAATGTATCTAGAGACACTTTTTCTTATACCTATCAACATACTTGCATCTAAAACTTCAAAATTAAGCATAAATTTCTATAAATTCATCTATTAGTCAATTTCCTATTCTCAATCAATCATCAAACACTAAAACCAAACTATGTAGTTTCATATTTTGCACAAAACAACTTGTAAAAAAGGTTACACAAAAAAATAACTCGTTACACAATGTTGATGTGAGCTATTTGTTATCAAGTTAATCAATCTCAACTTTGTAAATTTCTTTGATGATTGTTTCATTGATATCACAGACAAAGAAATTCTAACTATTTCCATTATTCCACACATAAAACGAAAATTGAATAGATAATTCGTGCAAACACTCATGGACATACATAAACTCAAATCCTCAAATTAATAGGAATTAAAAGAAAACAAATGTGAATATAGTTGTCTTTCGACCCATAAACAAAAAATCGAAAAAACAAAGACTCAATCCCATACAGTACCTACGCCACCTTGAATAAGTGCACAATTGAACTGTTGTAGCTCAGAGCTTTAAACTTATCAAGGCTTCAATGGATTTTTTGATTGGTCAACCCTGCAAAGAACATTCAAGAACAATTAAAACAGATTTGCACATGAGAGAGTGAGGGAAAATAGATTTCGGGTTGGGGAAGATGCTAACACGGTCAACCGCCGAGTCGAATCACCAAATGGTCGGCTAAGGACTGGGCTGAAATTCTTTTTCTTCTCTTTAACATTTTCTCGATAATCTAGAAATCACCTCATGAAATACAGCAAGAACATAATACATACACAAACAAACATACACACTCTGATCAAACTGAACAGGTCAAATCAAGCAAAACAGAGAATCAAAAGTTCAGAACAAACCAATTCAAGAACTATTAAACAAACTAATATTGAGCATCTTTATCAGCACCAGCAAAGATATTCACAAAATTGAAAAGAGAACAAACCAATCCAAGAGGTGTTATTTTAAAAAATTAATAGAGATTAGGCTTGATGTACAAACAACTAAAAAACATACCGAAGGCATAGAACGATATGTTCTTTTATTATGACTACCCAAATTATAGTAAAAAGTAATGAAAATTTTAACAATTATAAATAATAGTAACAGGAAGACCACCTCCATATAAAGAAGAAATTATAAGCTGAAGCGAAGATAAAAAAGTAAAACACAACAAACTGATTTGCCACAACAACATCCCGATTCCATTAAATAATAAGAAAGTTCAGTTCAGCTACAAACCAAATGGCTTCAAGGATTCAAACACAAAACATTGCATTTAGTCTCCCTCATCCTTTTTGGATTTTTTTCCATTGTTTGACCTTCTCCTTAGCACCCTGCAAAAAAAATTAAAAGTCAAACACCATGAAGCATTAAATGTTATTATCATAATGCACATTGATAACACAAACTTCCAACAAAAACAAAAAATTAATGCTAAAACACACCTCCAAGCCTAAAACTATTAGTAGCAAACAATTATCACATAAACCAATCATCTTTACGTTCATAAAAAAAAAAAAAACCAATCATCTTTAGCAGCGGCATCTACAAAAGCCTATTCCTTTGTAAGAAACCTGTAAGCATTTTCTAACAGCCACAACTATTGGCCATATATTCCCCCTCACCTCTAGCTAACCTANTTGTAAGAAACCTGTAAGCATTTTCTAACAGCCACAACTATTGGCCATATATTCCCCCTCACCTCTAGCTAACCTAACCAATGGGCGAAGTTATGCATATGAGTGCTTATCATCAATCATAATAATACATTGAGCTAGATTCCATTAACTACCGGCCAACCCAAATAATCTAATGAGAACTAATTAAATCTACCAGAAAACCAAAAAAAAAAAAAATGTATTAAAATTGAGAGACCCAACTCAAGAAAAAAATGGGCGGCGGGATCATGATGATATTATTTTAAAATTCTCGAATGTTTTTCAGTTTCAATCATCTTCTATTAAGAAATCAACACAAAAAAGTCATCAACCACTGAAAGAAAATAATTAAAATGCTCACAAATTAAGCATCATTCTAATAAAATGGAAAGGGGGAAATATACTTCATGCCCAATAATGGTTGTAATCTCTGCATCGATCTAAAATGATGAGGCAACGTTGTAAACACAGCAATCTGATAAGCAAAATGCACTAATATCTGGCTCATTGTCAAAATGCTATACTTCATGATCTGTTTAACGAAACTCTTGGAACAATAAAATTTTTCAAGTTTATAAAGATCATGTATTGAGAAACTTCATTTTCCTAAAGGATGCTTTCAAATTCAGCACCTTGTTATTTACTTCAATTGTTTAATTCATGTTCTTTTGAATTTGGTCGATTTTTGTCCATGGATCTTCACAGAGTCACCTTCTCAAATAAGACCACCCCAAAACTGAAGACACAACTTTTTGAAATCAAATGATATCACCTCTTTCACATTTTATAAACACATAAAATCACCTAATTAAAAATGTTCATTCAAATGAATACGCATTTCATTGATACCAATAATAGAGATCCTAATCTTTTGTGGTTACTGTTGTATCACACACTAACAATCATTCCACTTTCGTTTGCTAATCACTAACATTGATCACTTAAAAATCACAAAAAATCATTGTTTTGTGTTAAAGGTAATAATCTAAAAAATAATATCAGAATATAAATAATTTAACTTACTGTTGTGTCAGCAAGAAAAATTGACAGCTCCACAATATCGATCTTCTCTATCATTTCAAATTTTTGCGATCCACGATACATCTACTGTGCTGGAGCATCTTATCTTCTTTCAACTCACATGTTTTTTACCTGTTTATACCTAGTTCTAACTCATTGTCTTAAACGAAAAAACATACCGGTGGCAATTTTCCAACCAAATCCTCTCACACCAATTAAATAGAATCATTGGTTGGGTTGGTAAATTGATCATGTATTATTACCTTCAATGATATCCCCGAAAGAAGAGAAAGCGTTTTTTTTCAAACGGAAGCAAAATGCACTGGATTATGCACTGGGTCTTTTTGATTTCTTGATTTGGTGGTGAATACTGGAAGGAATCGGCAAAAGATACGGAAGCTGGCAAATTAGGAATAAAGTTAAGATTGGAGACATCCCATTGGACAGACGGACGAATGAATTAGGCAACAAATTCAGAATTCTAAATTCCAATTAAAATAGATTGAATCCCTTACAGGCCTATAATTGAATCCTCCCACTGGATTATAATGAAATTCAACATGAACATTCAAGAGTCAGACAAATCATAACATGAGAGATATAAAAAGAGAAAGAAAGGAAGAGATACCGACCTCGATTGAAAAACAAAGAAGATGATGAACGCTAATGGGGAATCGTTAGTGGATAGTGGTCTGGTAGCCCAAAGCAATATCTGAAGTCGGGAAGAGTTGTCGTCGGATTAAAAGATAGTTTCCCAGTTGAAACCCTCGAAATTAAAGAAGGAAGGCCAAGGCGTGACGCGTGAGGCTTCTTCTTCTTCCTATCAGTATCGGGGTTCCGAATTATCGGATTTTTTCGTTTGACTTGGAAGGGGCGTAAGAGATTGCGAGAGAGAGAGACGTGAGTCATTTAACATATAAAATAGGGCAACACAGGAGCGAGAGAGGAGAAAGATACGAGGTGAAGATTTAACCGATAGACTATGTTATGTGCAAGGGTTCAAACCCTTGTTATTTGGTTATGGTCTGATGGGTTGAATGTATGTCATTTCACTTAGTTTTTATTGCTTTTTATTTTCATTGATTGAGTCCATGTAAGTGGGCCGAAAGGCTAGTGGGTAGTTATTGAGTCTTGTAGTTTGTTTTGAGTCAGTTGTTTAGTCCTTATTTACTGGGCAATGCCCCACGTTGTGTAATTGTCAGTTATCTCCTGACCTATTTATGTTTGATGTTGTTCAATCAAAAGAAAAAAAAGAAAAAAGAAGTCATTTGTTCAATCTACAGAACATCAAAAAAAGGCCTGGTAACCTCGAATTACCATAAACAATTCAGTCACTAGACTACATAATTTTACAGTATAACAGTGGTATCAAAGCTACGGTTCTGCGACAATGGCTGAAGGTACTAGGCATGCGTAAATGACTGAAGCTTTGGCAGCACTGAAAGGAGAGAACACCCACCTGTGTGAAGAATAGGAGCGTTAGAAGGAGATGTTAGCCACAGTACTCAAACAGATCACTAATCTGACATCTAGCTATGAGGCCTTAGTAACACATCACCATCCTGAGGAAGGTTCTTCCAATTCTAAGGTCAATAACAATCCTTTATTTGAGGGAAATGGGGGAATTCAAGCTAGGTCCTTAAGGTTGGATTTTCCTAAATTTGATGGTACTGATCCGGATGAATGGATTCAAAAGGCACAACAATTTTTTGAGTATTACAAAACACCCGATGACCAAAGGCTTCAAATAGCTTTTTTCCATATGGAAGGAAAGACCCTATCTTGGTATAGTTGGTTAAAGGAGTCCAGCCCAGTCCAAACTTGGGATGATTTTATTGCAGCCTTAGAAGTGAGATTTGGACCTTCAGCCTATGAGGATCCTGTAGGGGAATTTACTAAATTAAGGCAAAATGGGACTGTAGAAGCCTATCAGACACAATTCGAAATACTTTCTAATAAAATAACTAGTTTATCTGAAGAGTTTCGAATTAGTACCTTTCTCAGTGGCCTTAGGGAGGATTTAAGGATCACTGTCATCATGTTTAAGCCATCTACACTTTCAGCAACCTTCGGTTTGGCTAGGTTACAGGAGGAAGAAGTGCTTAGGTGTGTACGATCAAATCCAACCAAGTTCCAAAACTACCAAAACACCAACCCAAACAACCAGCCTAATTTGCCTGCACCAGCCCCTATCTTGAGCCTTCTAGCAGCTCCAAATAGACCCAACCTGACACCTCAAACCTTTAATAACCCCAAAAAAATCAGTTTTCCCATCAAAAGACTATCTCCTACCCAAATGCAAGAAAGGAAGGAAAAAGGTCTATGTTGGTTTTGTGATGAGAAGTACCATCTCGGACATAAATGTACCAAACCCAAGATTTACCTTTTAGAAGGAATGGAGGGAGAGGTAGAAGAACCCGAGGAACCAATAAATGAGAAAGGTACTTTGGCCGTGATAGAGACTAATGACGAAGAGGTGGGTACGTTGTTAGGAATCACCTTACATGCTATTGTTGGATCCTTAGCCCCTAAAACTATGAGATTGTTTGCTGAACTTAATCACCACCGTGTATTGGTCTTGATTGACAAAGGAAGCACTCATAGTTTTATAGATCCCAATTTAGAAAGTAAGGCCAATCTGTCAAGGGAAGAGAGCCACTTAACAGTTCAGGTGGCTAATGGTGCCACTTTTCCTTGCCTTGGTTACTGTAAGGCAATTTCTTTGAAGCTACATGATTATACCTGTAAGGCTAATTTATATGTGTTGACACTTGGAGGTTGTGACTTAGTTTTGGGTATTGATTGGCTAAGAGGATTGGGATCAGTTTTATGGAATTTTTCTGACCTAACTATGCGATTCCAGTGTGATGAAAAGACTGTAGAGTTGCAGGGAATCAAGACACCATCAATAAATGTGACAGAGGAACAAGACATTGGCGACCTCAAGAAGGGTACAACAAAAGGAATATGGCTACAAATTATGGAAGGAAATGCTTCAAGTCTCATTCCTAGCATTCCAGGAGTAGTACAACAACTTCTGGACAAATTCAAAGGGGTGTTTGCTGAACCAAAAGGGCTGCCACCTCCTAGGATTTTTGATCATAAAATTAAATTGCAGGAGGGCACTAAACCCACATGTGTAGTAAACCCACATGTGTAAGACCATACAGGTATCCCGTACTACCAAAAGGAGGAGATAGAGAAACTAGTGGCTGATCTGCTCAAGAATGGCAGCATACGGAGCAGCCAAAGTCCTTATTCTTCACCTGTGTTACTAGTAAGGAAGGCTGATGGAAGTTGGAGGATGTGCATGGACTACCGTGCTCTCAATAAGGATACCATCAAAGATAAGTACCCAATCCCTAATATTGATGAGTTACTTGATGAATTAGAGGGAGCCGAAATTTTTTCAACGCTGGATTTAGGGTTAGGATATCATCAAATAAGAATCCATCCTGATGACATCCCTAAAACTGTCTTTCGCACACATGAGG